TTGGGAATTGTTTCAATTCATAGAAGGCTTTGTTCAACTTTAATACCTTGTTTTCATATCCCTTCATTTAATAATCTATAGGTTGCTCAATGTAGACCTTTTCTTTAAGAAAATCATTTAGAAAGGCTAACTTGACATCTATTTGGTAGATTTCCCATCTATATTGGACAGTTATGGCAATTATTAAGCATATGATCTTCAATTTAGCAACTAGAGCAAAAACTTTATCATATTCAATACCTGATTTTTTACTATGGCCTTTTGCTACTAATATTGGCTCATACCTCTCCACCTCTCCTTTGGCATTCTTTTTTTCTTTGTAGATCCACATAATACCTATTAGCTTTTTTCCCTATGGTATAGAAACCAATTCTCATGTGTCATTCTTCTTAATTAATGCAATATCCCCGTCTATAGCAATTCTCCATATTTCATACTTTATTGCTTCTTCAAATACTAGGTTCATATATGGCAAGATGACAATATAGTGTTAGATCATCATCAATTGGATTAGTTATCTCATACAACTCATCAAAGCTCCTTGTCTTTCTTGGTAGACTTGGTGGGATGTCATTACTTGAACTTCTACTAGAAGAAATGATAAAGGCGAAGTTTAGTTCATTAGTAATTGTGGAGGTGTAACTAGTTCTTAATGATATTCATATCTCTCCTCCTCTTCATCAAGAACTGATAGAAAGTCATATTTCTCCTCACATCTACCTTACAATCTCATTCTTTTTTTTCATCATATTTAGTTTCCCTACTAATCACCGTCTTTTCTTTATTGAGATTGTAAAGCTTGTATCCTTTAGATTTTTATTATAGCCCATAAAAATTATATTTTTGCTCTTGTCATATGGCTTGGTCCTTACTTGATCATATATATTCACATAGCCAATGCTTTTAAACACCTTCAAGTATATAGCACTTGGCTTTCTTCCATTTCGTGTCTCTTATGGAGTCATATCATTCAAGCCTTTTAGAGGACATTTATTTGACAAGTAAACAACACAATCTACAACTTCAGCCTAAAACTCGTTGGGCATCTTTCTTATTTTGAGCATATTTCTCGTCATTTTAAGGATGCTTTTATTCTTTTTCTCCACCTCTATTTTTTTATAGGGATATATAGATACTATTAAGAGTTTTTTTGTACCTTGATCCGCACAAAACTCATTAAACTTATTAGAAAAAAATCACTACCCCTATTTGTTTTAAATAATTTTATAATATAATTACTTTTTTTTAACTAATGCTTTAAACTTCTTAAAACATTTAAATATATTAGACTTTTTTAAGAAGTATACTCTTTTTTTTTTACTATAATCATCAATAAAAAGTAGAAAATATAATTTTTTACAAAATAAGCATGGTTGAATAGGACCCCTTACATCTGCTTGTATCTCTGATTGGGGTTGACTTGCTATAGATATAGACTTTTTTTAAACGCTCTTATAGGATTGTTTGCCCACTATATATCCTTCACATAACTGATTTAGATGTTTAATGGATGTAAACCCTTCAACATCTCATTTTACATCATCATCTTCAAGTCAAAGTTTACATGCTCAAGTCTCATATGTCAATTCCGAGTATCATCTTTCATATATATATATTTAGGCATTTAGGCACATCTATCTCTATGTTTAGCAAAAACACCTTGTTCGTTGTCATGGTTACTTTTGCAATCATAATTTAATAAGTATCGATGGTCTTTTATTTTAATTTCATAACCCTTCTCCAATAATTAACCCAAACTCAATTTATTGCTTTTTATAGTTAGGATATAATGAATATCACTAATAAATTGGTGAGTATCATCTTTCATTTGAATCAAAATTGTATCTTTTTCTTTTATAGAAATCTTTGAATGATCTATAAAAGTGAAATTATCTTTAATTGATTCATCAAGCTCCACGAACTTGTCTTTTTTTATACATATGTGATTGTTGTCTCCATTGTCAAGACACCATATGTTTTCTTTGGTTTTTATTTTTTTAATCATGAATTAGTAATAAAGTGGCTTCTTGCTCCTCTTATACTATTAGATTGACATTCTTTTTAACCTTTTTGGTTGAAATCCAACAATCCTTAACATAATGATCTATTCTTTGACAATTATAACACTTAATTTTATTTTATTTTTTATCAAACTTCTGGTCGACTGGTTAGCTTTAATCGATCGACCAGTTGATCTATCTACCTTAACCTCCTTTTTCTAATTTGTCTATTCCTCTACCTTGTCCACGACCTCTACCTTCTTGGCTATATCCAGATTCATCTTGCTTTTTTTTCATGAAAAGTTTTGAGAAAAGTGCTCGTGTGTCCATGTTTTCTTGAACTTTGTTGATTTTTTTTCAAGCGCTTGTAGTTTTCTTATAAGATCTTGAATTGTTAGAAAAAAAAAAAACCATTTTTTGGCAATTCCTTTATTATGACCACCACATAGTGGGATTTCTTTAACAACAAGCTTAAGATCTTTTCTACCACACTCGTTTCTTCCATATCTTTTAATCTACTTATATATAGTAAATCCTCTAATAAATTAATTTAAAATATTCTCTAATTTAAGCATATGTGATTTTTCAAAGTCACCTCGTAACTTTTGTAAGTGTATCTTTTTTACACTATCAACTTCTTGGTTTGACTGTTGTAAAACTTTTCATACTTGTCTGACAGTGATTGTGTTACATTGATGAATGATTATGAATGCTTGTTGATCCTTCCTTTCATATCTTTTACACAACTTTCATTTGGACTGAAATCAACATCACTGTTTCAAGCTCTTCAAAGATTTTTTTAATTGTTTTCCACACATCTTGAAAACTTAGCCAAGTTTTCAAACGAATACATCAAATAATACTAAATCACAAAGCAAAAGAATAAAAAGAAATTTGATAGGAACATATGTTGAATTAAATGTTTTTTTTTCCTTCTTACATTCACCTTTTTCTCTCTAATCTTATATTTATACTTCTAATTATAAGCTTATTTATATGTCTAAAGTCCTAAATAAATAAAGAATTAAACTAAACATAGAAAAATATAATACGATCAAGAAAAGTATTTATACCAACTAAACCAACTCTCAACCAATAAACCAATTTTCTTATTTAAACTAGTCGACTGATTCCTCTAATCTTTAGAAAAACTAAAAATCTAGTTTCCTGTACCAAGTCATGATACGTGGAGTAATTCAATGGATTAGAGGAAGTAATTCAATGGATTAGCAAGGATCAACCCTATACCACTAGCTAGAGCTACCACCAAACCCTTTTCTTCATCATGGAGTTCATTGCGAGTACAATTTTTTCTCGCTTTCATTGCATCAAGGGATCCAACAAGGCAAAATCTTGCCCGGTCACTGGAGACACTGGCAGCTTTAACATCCATTGAATTGATCAAGGGGTAAAACTTCCCAGTAGGTAGAGTATTAGCATTAAAACTCAGGCCCTTGTATTGTTTGTTACTTACAAGATATCAGATGGAAAATCCCTGCTGATGGTGCTAGCAGCAACCGTGAGAATCCATGGGGTTGTATTTCCAACCACACAATGAGGAGGTCCATCATTTCCTGCTGAGGAAACTAAGAGGATCCCATTCTCTCAAGCACAGAGCTCGTTTCTATATATAGAAGTGGAATCTATTAATGGTTATCTCCTTTTATGTGAGTGATGGAATAATGCACTAGGAGATTAATAGTTGGGGTAAGATCTAAATCCAAATAAAAGAAAGATTTTTCATGCAAAAAATCTCCCCTCAAAACGAGAATTGCATGCCAGTTGTCGAATATTTAAACAAACAAAATTGGACTATAATTACATGTTTTGGCAACAATTTCTCCCGAGCTCCTAAGGTGTTCTATACGATCAAACCACAAATTCTACAGGCAAAAAAGGCCCCATGGAAAAATCAGGCATAAATTGGCATCTAGCAAGTATCAACTACTTAACTGGGGGTCATTGGCATAGAGCCACCAACCGAAGCTTTGATGTATATGACTGCTAAATTTTAAACTCCTCCCCTCCCGGAAACTATTGGTTTTACTTCAATAACCTGCTGCGAATACTTTCTGCAATCTTTCAGCAGAAAGGGATGCTCTTTTATTAGTTGGCTCAAGCACCAGGGCATATTTGAAATCTGCAAGAATAAAAGGTTTCATTAATCCAGTGGGGTCAAGCGGTAAGATTATAAATAACTGGAAGATATGGATCAGACAAATTCCAAAGACGAATATATATTTGGCATATCGCCCCTTCAAAAATAAAAACTGTCCTCTTTTTAATTGAAACCAACAATGTTTAATTTGGGCCCATTTAAATTATCCTCGCCTCTGTTGACATGGAACCTGGATTTGACCAAAGCCAGGGAGCAAGCAGCCAACATATAGATGAAAAGATGAAACAAAGAATAAATCTACTCAAAGAAACTTGTAATGTGATGAATTGACTCACCTTCAATTGCATCCTTATAGTAACCAAGCATCTCTCTTGCTGTCCCTCTTCGCAAATAAGCCTTAACATTCTGGAAACAAAAAGGAAAACAGGAACCAATGTTAAAGTAGTCTGAATAAACTACAGCACAATGCACTAAATCTCCAGGGATAACCGTTGCTTCAGATGTATAAAGCAAACCTTAACAAATGAGCAAGTTTCAAAGACAAATTCATTGTAGTTAATGAAAAATAGTGATAACAAGCAATCCATGACAAAACTAATAAAAAATTGCAAGAAATCACCTTTTTATCAAGGTTGATAGCATTGGAACAATCTGCTTCAGCATGGTGGAAACTGAAAGTAAAATAAAATATGTCAAGCAAGTACAATAAGATACCTATACAACAATGTTGAAGAATAAAAAAAATACCTTCCCAGTTCAAGATATGCTGCAGCTCTGTTACTGTAATATGTTGCATTTTTGTCATTAAGTTTGATAGCTTCGGTATAATAGCTAACAGCCTTCTGCCACTGCTGCTCCTTAAATGCTTGATTGCCCTTGATCATAGAATTAGGTGGCAAGCAAAGAAGTTCAGGCTCAATAAAGATCCATTAACTAATATAGCACAAAAACATTTGTAAAGTATATAGGGTAGTAAAACAATATGAAACTAATTAATATTTTGCATGAAACCAGACACTGAATAAAGTCATAAAGATGACTACTAACATATTTTCCAAACTATAAGAATCACAAGTCTTCCATCTCATGTAGTCCAAGATAAGTTATGACTACTAACATATTTTCCAAACTATAAGAATCACAAGTCTTCCATCTCATGTAGTCCATGATAAGTTGAAATGAAAATGCACATTTATAGAAGCTGATCAAATTTAAAAAAAAAAAATCCATTGATCATTGGCAGCATCACCAAGCTTCTGTTCAGGTGTTGCTGGTCTGTGTCTGTGATCTTCTCTTATGCATCTTCCTTGAAATGTTTTTTCATTTACTTATTTAATTTTTTAAACACCAATTGAAAAAGGGTGCAAAGAGCTACAAGCAAGAAGCCAATTTTCTCAGAAAGATAAATAAACAGTTTAATGATTACAAAAAATTGTAGTAGCCATGCTATCACCACTACAAGTGCACATCCAACTGGCTGAGATATCTAAAAGGAAAAGAACATAAAACTTTTCAAATTCATCACGTACACCATTGAATAAGCAGTATCATCAACAACATGAATAGAATTAGCAAATAAATTCAGAAAAATTCAGTGGACTTCCTTTTTCTCTTTTGAAGAGAGGGAGAGAACCACAAGCTGAACGTGAAAAAAAGTTAAATTCACTATACACACACACACAGACTCTCAGTATTGAAACAAGATGGGCACTGGATCCAAGATTAAATTCCATTTGATTATCTAGAACAGTTCATCGTGCAAAGGTGCACTATGAACAACATTTTAATTATGACAGTGAATCTAATTAGTACAGCTAAATCCAAGGCTCAGTTCTAACTTTTGACCCTCAGTCAACTTCTGAGGTGCATATGGAAATCGATTTAAAGCAAGCATTAAAGTCAACAAATAAAAGATCAAGATCAACATGCCAAGTGCAATCAAATTCAATCCAAAATCTGTCACTGGACATGTTACAGTTTTGACAGGTAAGACACATGAAGAATGCATAATCTACCTTTTCTTTAGCCATCTCAGCAGAATTTGCCCGGCTGTCTTTGTTACTCAATTTGGAATTCACATATGTCTCAGCTTGTTCTTGAAAAGTTTTATACATGGTCTGCACTGTATCTAGTAAAAAGCGATCGCTGCCATGTCTGGCTATCAAGGACACTGAGACAGGACACTTGTTATAATATCCTAATGGTACAGTGACCTGAAACATATAAAAAAACAAATAAAGTTAAATAACAAAACTTTGCTGTTATAAGAGGAAACAGGAATTCAGTGCAGCGTCTTATTGCCATTTGCACATGCATGCATGTCTCGTCTTATTGCCATTTGCACATGCATGCATGTCTCTGTGTGTGTGTGTGTGTGTGAAAGAGAGAGGGGGAGAGAGAGAGAGAGATTCACCTGACAGCAACCTGATAGGCTAGCAATACTCAAAAGACCAAATGAAGAGCTCTGATATTCTTCAGATAAAATCTCCTTCCCACCAAGTTTTGGAGGAAGATAAGCAGTTGTCGGGACCACCAGAATCCCATCATCCTGGAAAGCCACAGAAACCAAAAGAAGAAAAAATAAAGGTGTTTACAAGGCATAATCAATATAACCATTATGAATAAACAAATCAAAATTAGATAATCAAGGTTGCACTATTTGAAAAACAAACAGAAATGTTAATTCAAGCTCCAAGACCCTAACTCGAACCAATTACACAAATTAAAATGGAAGTGCAATGTGTTTTCTTTTCCAAGTGCTCCTACATATTCATAAAATGAAAAAAGAGTTAATGAAGTTCTAGAAGAAGAAACCCACTGAAAGACAGAAGGTTATATAGTCAAAAAATAAAATAAAATAAACTGGGACAAGGATATAATGACTCCAGCAACTAACTAAAATGGGCATAACCATATACACTTAAAGCCCAGTCATAGAGTTGAAGGATACAAGATCCTTGCATTTCAGAACTAACATTGATGTGTAATGAGAAAAAAATAAAAGCCAAAGTTAGATATAAGGTACTGTATGCACTGTAACAATCCTATCGTCAACCTAGCACATAAAAACAGAGTAAAGGAGAGCATTAAAGGATGATGAATTGCAATAAAAACAATGATCTCATACATGCTGTTCAACCAATTATTATTGTTTTTTTAATTGTTTCAACTCTGTTCTTTTTTCCCAAGACTCATTTTTCTTTATTTGGGCGGAAAACATAAGACAAGCTGGGCATTGCATTAAAAATCTAAACAACCACTCTTTCCTTTTAGCTGTATTCATTAATGCATCCATTAGGAGTTGATGGAAGCTTAAGCGAAGAAAAATCAATTCCAGTATATAAGATAGACATTAAACCAATATCAGCTTTTAATTAACAAAGCATCTCTTGTAGTTTTCAACAAATGATATTTTTGTTTATATAAACTATTGATGACTTGTGATATTCAAATTCAAAGGTCTTCATTTAAGGAAAAAAAATACCTTCAATAGGAAGTTGACAGCCGAACGCATTTCTTCTCTAATAGACTTGCAGAGTTCAATCTCTGCATCTGACAGCTCCATTATTTCATTCATCTGAGCTGAGAAATTGGGTTCAAGAATTGGCTTTACTGTGTTAATCCATTCCTCGTGATTGCTTCTGAACTCATATCTATTACAAGATAGAGACAAGATTCATATTGTCAAGAAAATATCAAAATAAATGTACAATAAAGTGAAGAAGCATCCGACTTTCACGTCATACACCATACTCAAATGCTCATCAAGAAATTGAACATCACAAAATTCTATCCTCCTCCACAAGTTAAATAACACATATAATTAAGTCAAAGAGCACCCAGGTCTAGTCCAAAATGCAGAGGAAATAATTATTTGGTTTGTCCGTTGTAACTTTAACAGATCATGAGGCTTCTAATAACAGTATATTCAATGTATTGATCATAATTTGAAGGTAGGAAACAGTCTCTAACTACTACACCTGATTAGAAACTATAAATACATTTTATAAGCCATAAGCAACTACTGGTTGAAATCCCATTTTATTCCAACACAAGAAGTCGAGAGATCTAGCCCAATCATCTGATAATCTCTCTCTCAGATTTTCTTTTTTTATTGATAAAATTTCTCATTAACTACAAACCCCAATATAAACATACTGATTTATGTCTTCGGAGATGACTATCAGAAAAAGGTTAAAGTTCCAAAACTGATATTGATGTTTGAACACTATAAATTTCTCGCATGGACTGTACACATAAATGATCTATATCAAACCACCTCCATATGCCTAAATATGATCGATAATGATACCTCCATCCCAAGCGACCAAAAAAACAGATGAAGAAAGCTAATCAAAAACTAATTTCGATATTGGTTTTCCAATCATATTACAAAAAGTGGAAAAAAGAACAAAGTTCTACAGTGGTACAATTACAAGCAGTAGATAAACTGTCATCGTGCCTTCAAAGGAAATTTTGACTACAACTGTATATCCCATTCTCAGCTTTTCCACAACAAGTTCAATCATATATTCACACTTGATTATCTGAAAGACTTACCTATGAAGAAGCTGCATGACATTCGCAAGCAATCTTATTGAAGAAGTTTTAACTTCACCATTTGTTTTTTTGTTGTGGAACTCTTTCAGGCTTGGAACTTTAGATTTCAGATACACATCAAGAATTTCATGCTTCAATAATTGTCCTGGAGAAGTGTGTCGAGGTATAATTCAGAGACAAACTCCACTAGAGAAGAGCAAATATTTGTGAAATATAACAAAGGAAAAAATTTACAACTCTAGGTCAGAAGATCATGACATACTTCCGAAATGCTTTTCAGTTGACTTAACCACCACCTGGGCAATTCTATCAACAGGAATCTTTAGTGATTGAAAACAATCATCTGCCATTATAATTTGCCTAGGACTACGGTGACCTCCAAAAGCAGATTGAAGAAGAACATGTCCAACACGTTGCAGAATATTAGGATCCTTAGCAAACCAACCTGCAAGAGTTGTTTCAGAAGTTGATCAAAATTAGTATTGATGAGGCAACCAGAGAGAATCAAAAGGAATCTCATCAATTCAAAGTAATAGTCAATCAATGGCTAGACGAGAATAAAATGACCTCTACTTCAAAGATGACGTTACACACATGCTCAAAGCAAAATAAATTACATAAAAAGTGGTGTGAAAAATAAAGAAGCAAATTCAACTTCAGAGCAAGGTTTTGATATATTTTTATTTTTATTTTGATCTAGTTCAAGGAGCTTATTAAGGCAACAAAACCAGCTCTTAGGACGTTCCAAAGCATGGATTAAGGTGAAATTTGCTTGCCTCAAGCAACAAACAATGAAATGTCATAACTGGTCAGTAGTGCAGGGCACTACAAAGTTTAGAGCTTTAGCTCGTTAAATAAATGTGCAACGAAAAGACTAAACTTCAGTTCGCATTCAAGAGAATTGATATCAGTCATCACCAAGTAAAATTACACAATAAGTAATTATATGATCAATCCTAGCTTAAACATTTGCATAATTGGTTCTTTTCTTGAAAAGGTAAAGCCAAGATCTGTGCAAAATACTAAATCATATTGTGTTCCAACTATATTTTTTTAAGTTAAAAAACATATGGAGCAAGTTGAAACACACACACATCAATCATATTCCTACTTGAAAGTAATATGAGAGAAAAATGTTCAATCAGAAAAACCTACATCAATTTGAAATAGAGACCAACAATAGACATTCAACAATTGCAATACAGAAAAATGTAGGTCGTCAACAACATTATTTCCAAAATGTGACCCTTACATACCAACAGTGTCAAGACTGGGTGAAACAGGTAAGACTCCTATCTTTGAAATAGCTCCATATGAGGGACGAAATCCTATGATACCACAAAATCCAGCAGGTACTCTCACACCACCAACAGTATCAACACCTGCCATAAAAATATCTGTATCAAATGCACATTACAAAATTTGCACATGTTTTATAGAGGTTAACTTAATGTCCAGAAAGCTAAAATTTTATTGAGTGGTCTGAAAATGCCAAAAGTTCACAAAAAGCTTGCATAACCTAAAGAAATTTAACAGCAGAATGACCTGAACAACAGTATCCTATATTACATGAATAAATACCGTCAAACAAAGTCGAAATTTTATGATGCTCCGGAAGAAACTAGTGGCATCCTATTAGTTACTTCCTGGAGTCCATTTTCAAGAAATAGATAGATACAAGTAAGGAGAGAGAAATCCTAGGTAAAAATATTATTATGACTTTTGGTGAGTAATGGATTTTATTCTATTTCCTATTTGTGTTTGTCTCTTTCTAGAAAGTAGGCCCCAGATAGTATCTAATAGGATATCACTAGTAACTCTTTGTGCACTATAAAATTTTCTCAAAAAAAAGTATCATGCAAATCATGCATTCCATTTATAGAATAGTTTATTATCATATTCCATTTCTATTTGAGGAACCATATAACTTGT